TTCTTCTGCTGGACGAATATACTTATTCAAAAAGGCGCGAAATCGCAGTTGCATTCGGCATGTTATATTCACTTTCTTTTTTATTTGCACTAGGATTCATAATGAAAATCTTGCTAGATTGACGATGTGTTCCTTTTGCCGCCTTCACTTGAAGTGGCAAAGATTGAGCGAGAAATGGTGGAGAACTCTCCTACTTTCTACTCTGACGGCCAACATTATTCTTTATCCTCGTGAGTTTCATTCAGTTGTTTTTTAATGGTAACGTTCACAAAAGGTTGCATCGTAAATTGCAATTTAATTTTGATTATTTTGGTGCTCTCTTGGCCACCTACGGACTAGCTTTCTTCTCTCTTGGCTTACTCCGATTAGCATCTGATGCATTTGTGTTTGCTGGACCCATATTGCTCCATGTGCTTGTAGAAATCTTGGAGGATCCCGCCCCAAATGTAGGTCGCAATTAATTGCTTCATTGCAACAATTCTCAGCACTCAAACTTTTTAAGAACTTGGGATACCTCTACGCTAGCCTCATGGTGATTTGTTCATTTCTGGCAGCTTTATTCTCCGCGAGTTTCACATTCTATATGCAAAAAATAAGTCTGAAGTAGGTTGTGTTGTGCTTTTCTTATCGTAATTGATTGTCAACTCAAAAATTTCCTATCAATGATTCTTGTTACTCTTGCTCAAGTTTGTTATAAATCTATAAAAAAATATTTTTAGAGTACGCACAGCTACAGTAACCGCCATATACGACAAGTTATTGATGGTACCTCTGAGTGAAATGAGCAAATTTTCTTCAGGTGTGATGATTTTCCTGAAATTCTTCATTACTACTCCTTTTGTTGCGTCTTCTTATCAACTTACATGCATTTGATTTCGTAAAGGAACTATGACCTTTTTGCGTTTATTTGAATACTTGTTTCCAAATGTTCTTCAAAATAAGATCTCGTATTTCCTTGTTTCTTATTATCCGATTGTTGCCATTCCAGGAATGATCCTCAACTTTATCTCTACTGATGTTGATCGAATTGTAAATTTCTGCAATTCGTTTCATGCATTTTGGAGCTTACCAGTTCAACTGGGCATTGCTCTTTACTTACTTTATCGTGAAGTTAGTTGTGAGTTAGTTTCTCTACTTCTCTCAATCTTCTGCCAATTCTAGATTGGTATGGCCTTCTTAGCCGGTGTGATGGTGGCGATCATTCTGATTCCTCTCAATAAGAAGGTTACGGACAGCATTGGGAGGATGTCAGTGAAACTGATGCATTGCAAAGATCAAAGGATCAAGGTGAAACTTCTTCTTCAGGTTCAGCTGACACTTTATGAAAGTTTTAGTTGGTTCGAGAAACAATGGAAGGAATTAGAGCTGTCAAATGTTCGGCATGGGAAGGTTTTTTTGAGAAAAAGATCACTGGACTGAGAGAAGATGAGCTCAAATATCTAAAGGTATTCGACAACAAATTTATAATTTTTATTTGCATAAAAAGCCTTTATTTAAAGGCTCGTAAGTATCTTGACGCTGTCTGTGTATACCTATGGGCATCAGCTCCCCTATTAATCACAATATGCATTCTCACAACCTATACCCTGGCTCTACACGAGAAGCTTACGGCAGCAAAGGTAAGCTCTCAACATCTTCCTGCGCCATGTAAGCGAAAGTTTTCTTTAGGCTTTCACCTGCTTAGCGTTGGTGAATATCCTCATCATGCCTCTAAATGCCTTCCCTTGGGTTCTCAATGGCTTAGTGGAGGCGTTGGTGTCGCTAAGGAGGCTTACTCGGCTATTTGCTTTAAAGAATATGGATGTTCATGATGTGTATACGTTATCCGAAGGTTAGCCTTATATTCTTTTAATGAGAATCTATTACGGAAGAAGTTCCTAATTGCAGAGAAAGATACTGTAATGTACGTTCGTGAAGGAAATTTCTTTTGGAGAGGTTCAAAACATGCCATAAGCGGGGTTTCATTCCACGGAACAAAGGTTTGATGCATTTTGACATGTTAAGGATATCGTCAGTTTTTTTGTTGTAGGGTAAGATCATTGGGATTTCTGGCGATGTGGGAAGTGGCAAAACAACGCTCTTACTCGGTAATTCTCTTCTTTTTCTCTAAATCTAATCCCCTTTATTGATCAGTAGTTTTCTTATCTATTGCTGAATTTCATTTATGAATGCATCCAAACAATATTTTTCCACGCGTTATGAATCAATCTAGTTACTGTGTTTTTATTACGAATTTCTCTCACAGGGCTTCTGGGTGAGACAAAATCTCTCACAGAATGCATAGGAATCACCCAGGAAAGTGTTTCAAACGGGATTGGCTATGTGGGACAAGAAAGATGGCTTTATCGAGGTAGGTTTTTTCTTTTTTGCCGCAATGCTCTTTTACTTAATAGTATCTGGAGTTACTAACTTTTTTCTCCCCTTGGAATTATAGAACTATGTACACCATACCGTGATCTACGTTTTATACCTTGGACTGCCTTTGTACGATATATATATGGTTCTAGCTGAAATACTGTAACTGATTTGAACCTTCTAGGCACCG